TTTTATCTGGCTCTTGAGTTTTTCTCTGTATTGGTACGGGAGTCTTTTGGGATCATGTTGACTTTGGTTTTTTTTATGAATTTGTTCATAGAATCTCGAATGAGATCATGAAGCTTGTTTCAGTTTGGAGAGTTTAGAAAGCTAGTCCAGAATTCCATATCTTGAATAATATTGTTGCTGGAGGTTTTTCTATATTGAACTTATAAATAGGCTTGACTTTTCTGAATTCAAAATAGTCCAGCTTAATTGATACTACATGATGGTCTATTGGAATAAAGTCATACTCCTGGACTTTATACCAAATTATTTTGGAGGTAAGATTCCTTGTTAGCCATATTTGATTGATTCGGGAAGCACTTGTGGAGAAGATGAAGGTGAAAGCTTTTTCATCTAGTTGGTGGCCTATATTGATATAGTTATATAGGTGTCTGTAGAGTATTCGTTTGACAGAAGAGGTTGAAGCATTTATTGATGGGCTGTTCTTGGAGTATGTATTGAAGTCCCCTAGAATTGCATGATAATATTTGTTAATAGTGACTGTTTTAATTGTTTTGGATTACTTGCTTGACTGCAGCTTTTCTTTCTGTCATGTCGTAGAGTAAATAGATTGCTGAGACAAGAATATTGACTTTTCCTTTGAATTTGAGTAGAATTGATGAACAATATTCTGAATGGCTAACAATTTTGTATACATGAGGAGTGAGACTTTTTTCTATAATAAGAGCTGTGCTATTTTTTGCAGATAAGCTGGAATTTCCATAGATTATGAATCTACCATTAATATTTCTAAGGTGGTTGTCTCCTTGTTTAAGTTTGGTCTTGGTGCAGAAAAGAATAATATGATCTGAGGTATAATTTGCTAGGGCTTTAAGCTTGGCAGGATTATTTAGGCCTTTGATATTGATAGTGGTAAAGATAATTAAATCTTGAGTAACATTTAGAGTTAATTTATTATTGATACTGTTTGAAGATATGATTGTGGTTTGGATGTAATAGGGTAAAGGGGAGTTGGAGTTGATGTATAAAGTGGTATTAATCGTTGTGTTTAAGTACATGTAGTTGTTGGGAATAAAGATAATGTTTGACAAGTTAAAATTTAAATTATTTGTTATAATTTGATTGTTAAACATAGTAATTAATATAGAAAGGACATAAGATCAAACTCTTTTATGATAAGAAATTCGGAAAGTCTGATGAAGAAAAAGGTTTGGTATAATTGATAGATAAATGTAAGGAGGGTATTGTTATTGTGAAAGAGAAATTGCATGGTCATATAAGTCTATGCAATGATGATCCTAAAAATAACAAATCTGAGAAAACTGAGATATCTGTAATATATTTCTTTTATTTGATTTCTTTGATTTCTTTGATTTATTTAAGATATTTAATATAGTTGAGAAATTAGATATATTAGCGATAGTTGAGATAGTTAATATAGTTGAGATAGTTGATATATCTGAGATAATTTTTTGTAATTAGCATGTATATAAGGAGAGCAAAAATGTCTAAATAAAAATAATCTATTTTGTTTAGAAATAATAATTGCTAAATAATAATAGTTCAAATAAACTACTTTGCAAATGTGTTGACATTTGAAGGTGAAACTGCAACCATAAAGAACTTTGGAAGAGTTTCAGAGTAGTTTGGAAGTGTGAATGCATCATTGCTACAACAGGAACTTAGGTATAGTTTGAGTAAACGAATGTGCATGCTAATGGACGAAATTGAGTTTATTTTTTAGTGAAAGAGCAGAATACTCGGACCAAATTATTACGCCTCAGCCTTACAAATTTAATTATTAGAGAGGACCTCAAAAGACCCTCATATTATCCACCAGGGGGAATTTGATAGGCATTATACTTCTTTCTTTTAGGATTCTATTTATTTCCAGTGGATCTACTGGCAAAGGGATTTGTGAATTGATGAACCAGTTTTCTGGAATTTTCTGGAATTTATAATGCTTGTATAAGATCTTGATTTTTTTCTAGGGCTCTGAAAAGTACCAAACTGGTACTGAAGTGGTATCAAAATAGTATCAATCTATAGTAAATTTAATATATGGGTTATGACTTACTTATATAAATTTATAGTAAATTTAAGTATCGAACTGATATTGAACAGGTATCGAAGTGGTACCATTAGGAGCCCTATTTTTTCTCTGAAGAGAATATCGCTATGAGAGAGGTGCTTGATATTTAGATCTGGATCAATATCATTAAGCTTCTATGGCAACTTTGGCTTATCAGTTTGAGAGATCTCTTCATTTACCCAATAAACTTCTAGTAGGAGTAAGAATCAGTATTCCATTCTCAAGTTCTTGATTAAAAATTGGATGTCATGGGGATTTGTAGTGGGAATTTGAATTCCAGTTTGGAGATATATTTGTTGATCATGGATAGAAATATGGAGAGAAGTTCTTTGAGCTTAAAGAAGTTAGAGGGGAGGCATTCAAAATAATATCTGAAATAGAGTTTTTTAATCACCTCTCTAATACTATGTTTGGATATATCTAGTGGGAAGAACTTAATAAATTTTGGTTCGAGAAGATTAGGTGATAAGAAAAGGAGAATTTTGGATAGGGGAAGATTGAAGTATAATGGAGGGATTTTGATGGGGACAAAGTAGAATTTTTTAAGTTCCCTGATTATGTCATCCAGGTTCTTGAGATCCTTTTTTCTTTTGACTGGAAACAAGTGTAATATTTCTTTGGAGAGATTTTGCAGATTATCGGGGAGATTAGAAAGGGTGGTGAAGTATGAGTTTGGTAGAAGGTCAAATTTGTATATTGAATGGAGAGAGCCTGCTCTACTTGCAGTTATATTTCTGTCAAGGATGGGAATTCTGTAGGGGATTTTGGCCTTTACTTGTGGAAGGACTAATTCTGGAGATGAAGAAAGCTTTGATAGATTGTCACGAAACATTTTTTTTACATTTTTAAAGAATTTCATAATAATCTAGTTTGATGCTTTCTTTGAAGCAGCACAGGTAATTACATCCATATTCCATGATTTGAGCGAGTAGATAGGGGCTGAAATCAAATATGTTGATATATCTTAGATAGGTGATGAATAGGCTAATGTTTAAGAAAAACTTAATTTTGGATTTGACTTCTCTGTTAAGTTCTCCAACTTTGTGTTTCCCTTTATAAATTCTTTGAAACTGACCTTTGAGTTTTTCATATTCTTTTTGATGGTCTTTTTTTAATTCTGTTTCCTTGTTAAATTTAAGAAAACCTCTATTCCTTGCTTCTATTTTGATGAAGATTACTAATTTTGGCTTTTGCCTGACTTTATCTTTTGGGCATTGATTGATATCTAGCAGGAGATTGATAAGTTTATCAGGATTGTTTCTAATGATAGTAAGCTTGGATACCTATTGAATGATATGATAATGTTCAATAATAAGCTTTTTTGGTAAGTTAAGCTCATTATCTTCGTCATTTGAGTTAATAGTTATGTCATAGTCTTCTATTCCTAAGGATTTTAGTAATAAGTCATCCTCATATAGCTAGAGCCTTTTAGAAGCAGCTTCTATTTTCTCCTGAAGGCTGCTGCTGAATGCTGGATTTCTTTTTCTATATTTTGCTAGACTCTTACGTTTAGATTGTTGAAGAGATTTTTGTAATTTTAAGTGAATGGGTAAGGGGTGCATGACATTGGGATAATAGGATTGTTATATTGTTGGAGGTTGTTGGTAGTAGGTGAGATGATAGGGCTGATTGGTACTTGGATATTGAAGGTGTTTTCTTTTTCTTGATAAATATAAGAACTTGTAGCATTTCCTATTTCTATGTTTTCTGGAATAGGGAAGTTTAGATCAATAGAGATTGAAAGGTTGCTTTTATAGGATTCTAGTAAGGGGAACCTTATGATTGGATGACTAATTTTGTTATATTGGATGATCTGACTGTAAGTCTTTTGATTGATCAAGATCTGATTGGCTAGGGGTTGTTATTGATAATAGATTCTAATTGGCAATTGAAGAACTAGCTGACTGATCTTGAGAATCAATAGAAGAGCTTATGGATAGGGACAACTTTGCATTGGCTAGCATATGGAGGGATGCTTGATTTGCACTGACAAGTTGGTATATTTTTGTGAGAGAAAAAGTTTTTTGTTTTTTGATACCAGCCTTGATAATCTGTATTATGTTCTAGATAATATGTTTGGAGTAGTTCCACTTCTTCACTATTATCTTTTGAAAGACTTCATTTTTAATCTGTTTATTTTTTGCAAAAAACTTTTGGAGTGAATTGTGAAAATCTTGAAATTCGTTCAAAAAATATAAGGATTTTTCTTTAAGAATTGAGACCTGTGCAAGAAGGTTTTTATTATTATTAGTGCTTGAAAATTCTATTTGGAATATCAATAGATTTGGAGAATCTGGCCTTGAAATATTGGTCATAGGAATGAGCCACCTAATGTGATAATTTTCAAGTATAGAAATTATATATGTTCTGGAAGATTCTATGAGAATGATTTTTTTTTTCCTGTTTTGATAAATGATAGACACATAATATCTCATTCTGTTTATTAAGATTATATCAAGTAGGGCTTCTAACGGTACTACTTCGATACCTATTCGATATCAGTTCGATACTTAAATTTACTATAAATTCATATGAGTAAGTCACAACCCATATATTAAATTTATTATAAATCAATACCATTTCAATACCACTTCAGTATCAGTTCGGTACTTTTTGAAATTCTAATATCAAGTAATAGATTGGTGTTATGTTGGGGCTCTAAAGATATTGTTTGCTGGATAGTGTAGTTTGAAGGTGTGTTTTGATTTGACATTGTAATCTAGAGCACATGTTTTGTTTACGTGTTTGTTGTTTAGGAGTATATATGTTCTATATAGTGTTTGAAGTGATATATTTAGTAATGTGTAATTGGGAGACACGTGTTGGTATTTCTTAATAAAATTTGAATATAAGTATTTGAGTAAAGTTGCTTTGGTTAATGCATGCTATTTTTAAAACTTGTTAACACTAGTTATTTAAGCTTGTTGACACATATTATTTGGACTTGTTGACACGTGTTATTTTGAGCTTGTTGACCTGTGCTATTTTTAGAAGCAGCTGTTGTATTTGTCATATACTATTTTTAGACATTGTTGTTATCGAGTTGTTGAGTTGTTAAGTTGGGAGACGTGTTTGCGTAACTGAGGTTTTGGAGGGGTAAGCTGATTTTGGTTTATTTGTCAACTATATATACATTAAGAAAATTTTCACTTTGTTTAGATGATAGGAGCTTTGAGACCCTTCTAGCCTTTAGGATAGTAATGAAGTTGTCTGATTTATTGGATGAAATCTGGCCACCTAAAGGTTTCTACAGTGTCAAGAAAGTTATTTAATCTGATACTGGCCTGGCTGTAGGAATGGTAGTGGGCTTTGCTCCCTGAGGCCTGACTGTGAATCAATTTTCCTGCTTTGTCTCTTCTGGATACAAGCAAGTACTTGTCTTCTCTATTTGAGTGAAAATAAAGAAGTGTTAGAATATATATTTGATATACCTTTGTTATTCTGTGACTGTTTTAAATTTTGGGAAATGGAAACTGTAAAGCTTGGGAGTTTTTTTGTTAAATAAAAGTGACTTTGTTTTTTCTTAAAAAATATTTTCAAAAAAGGAAATTTGATGTGGACAGGAAAGAGTTTGCTTGTTAGTATTGTTATTATAAAGACTAATAATATAATTTTAATGAAATATAATTAATCAAAATATAAAATCAATTAATCTGTAGATCTATAGCACAGTGGTTAGTACTTTACAGATTAAATTACAAGATATCAGTTTAATTCCATATAAAAGTGATTGAATAAAATTAATATAGTATCTGGTATTATAACTAATTATGTACTGTTTCTTATAAGAAGTTATTTTATATACTGATCCAGCAGGTGTTGAAATTATGATCTTTCTATTAAGATGTTATAATGTAATAATTATCTGGTTAATGTTATAATAATTATTGTAAAGTTATTTTATATATAGATTATGTAGTGTTACATGTGATTTTCACTCAAGATTTACATTGCCTCTTGTATTACTTTTACTAGCATTTACCTTTATAATATTGTCCATTCTAGAATAATCTTTGTACTACTGATCTATGTCTTTACCACCTTTACCTTCATCATCTTTATTACCTATATTACCTCTAGAATCTTCTATTACTTTATTATCTTTATTACCATATATACTTTCGCTAGAGTATTTCCCTGTACTTGCTGTAAGTATGTTAACTGCTCTAACGAAGATAACATCTATTTTATCAATATTACTATTATTATCTATTATGTATTCCAAAATATGTATATAAATGCCTCCAATTCCTCCTGGAATTGCAAGGTTGAACTTTCCTCTTTATTAATAAAATAACTTGACCTTTACAAAACAAATCACCATTGCTTCTTTCGCTTGACCTCATTCACCTCAGAACTGTACTAATTTTAGTACACCCTTATAAACTTTAGCATACCACATTGGTTTATCCATACAAAGTATCTCCCTGTTATTAGTTCTCTATCCATATCTATCTCCTAAGGTAGGAAGATATATGACAGTAGGTTATCCTATATATGTTGTAATCAATAAGCTTTGTCTTGACTCTTAGGATTTCCTAGTTTGGAATTATTTTAATCTGGCACTTGCTTAAAAGAGTTGATCTTTGAGAAAGAATCTACTGAAGCCATAGATGACAAGTATCCCATCCAAGGATCCAAATGAAAAGTATCGAAGTATTTGAAAATCCTATCAATCTTTGTGAAATAGACATAGCTCTTAATAAATAGGTTTACATAAGTTAAATGATTTAAACCATACATATATTTGTATTATCATAAAAAAAAATTTGATCAACAATACAATTTCAAATTAAATACAAATTCCAATTATTTACTATATGTTACTTAGTAATTTTACTATAATACAGTTTTTGAAAAATGGTTGAATTTAATTCCACCACATGTATAATTTAAACTAGTGATGGAACTTTTCCCCTTATATAGAAACTCCATCTGATATGTTGGATCCACCATTGGTGTATAATTCTTATAATTGAGTTTAAGATAGATGATAAGCTAATATTGTAACAAGTATTAGACAATATTAATTTACAGTTAGAACTGTTATCAGCCATAATCGACACAAATGAGAAAAGTGAATCTGTGCCCGGTTTGAATCATGAGACGATGGTCATGTGATAAATCAATGTAAAATCCAACATATGTTGTATAATCATAATACAAAAATATTGAAATATTTCGACTTTTTTATTAATTTCGATCATAATATTTTTGTACATACACTTAAAAAAACTATTTTAGACCATTAGATCTCATTTCTAATAAAGCTTGATTTAAGTTATGTAAGCATTTTTTTCGATATTTTTTTCGTGATGGCATAATAGATTTATCTAATTCTTTTATCATAGCTTTATTAACTAGCAAGTTCTTTTTAGGTCTTCCTTGCTGCACTTTCCCAAGTCTATGGCTTAAACCCCTTCTATGTCATGAGACACTAGTAACCTGAACCCGTATTTTCTTTCCACCACACTGATAACTATTATTATTAATCTGACCTGCATCCCTATCATAACTATAAAGAAAAGAAGCCACAGCCGAATGAACGTAAATATCTTGTGTATGCTGATGTTGCTTGTATAATTTAACAAACCTTTAAATGCTATTATTTAATGCGGGATCATTACATCTCAAGAGGTTTTCCAGGTCATCACATAACCAATGAAGCATACTTATCACACTATCGTCATCATCATCACTAGTACTATAATTGCTACAGTGGCCGGAAGTAGATCACCGGAAATTGATTATCGTTAATTAAAAAATTAAATTATATCATATTTTTTATTATTTATAATTTATAATATAATTATAATGATTCATAATTTAATGACTTTATTTAATATATCATTCTATATACATATATTTATAAAAAAAAAAAAAAATTTTTTTTAATATTTCGTGTACCATCCTTTGACTCTAATTATTGACTTTACCCGATTTGGCATACTGCTAATAAGTGTACGAAGATACTCTTGTGATAAATTATTCCACTCGTCCCTTATGGCATTAATTAACTCTTCTTTTTTTACGGGAATTGATTTTCGCTTGCGAAGTGCAGAGTCTAGATGTTC